TGGGCCACCAAGAAAGAATCGCAAGTAAGACAGCCCAAGTGCAGGGGAAAAGTAAAAAAAAACAAAAACAAGGAACATTTATTACATACATTGCTCGCATTTGACCTTTGCTGGATTCGGATAGTATTTCAATCGACTACACGGGTGGTATCTGTGGACTTGTTTATATCAACCCTCAAGTCATGTATAACAAACGTAAGCGAAGGTGCCTAGCTCGTTATTAGCCCCGTTAAGCCCCAAAATTGAGATTTTGCTTAAAGACCGACGACCAGTTCGCGCTTTCCACTTTTCTCCCGCTTCCTCCTCTCCCTCCTACCCTTTCCACCCACGCCCGCCCCTCTTGGTCCCTTCTTTCCATCCTTCGCTTCCCTCGCCCGAAGGCGGGGAGAGGAGGGTCTTCTGCCTTGCAGGATCCCGAGTCTGGTCGTCGGCCTTTAAATCGAATTGTCCTGAAGATAAAATATTAGAAGCTTTTCTCACGCAGACTGTCGCCCTTCACAGGTTCTAAATTTTCTGCTGCTAGTGCTGCAACTACCACTGGACAGACGTTCGAATGCTTGCTTTTACTCCTGTTTTCCTCTGATGTCAGAGAGTCCAGCTGTAGGGAGTTTGGAGGCTGAGGAAGCTTTTGGGGACTTGCAGCAGTGTCTCTTTTGGTTGGAAATGACAATTCAGACTAAACGGTGTATTTTCAGAATCGGCTGGAATAAAGAATGTCAGGAAAAAGTATAAATATTGCAAATTACGGTACTACTCCCGCGCATATTTTGGGCAGTTCAATACATATCATACAGACAACTGGGGGCAATTCGGCCGTTTTTGCTGCTACCATACAAACTAATTTCCAGTAATTGTGCAGCTTCTAAGAAATATGCCTGCACACGTGTATAAACTATATAATTAATTTGCGAAGAAGCTATATTTATGTAAAACAACCCTGTTCCACGAGCACTTTCAAGATCATCAGACGCACGACCTTTAAAACATCTGCGAACCAGTGCATGCAGAGTGGCAGCGCAGAGTCAGGGTCGCGAGCTAATTTGCCGACCACCCAAAGGCCCATGATATAAATGCCACTTCAAATGCCTTGAAAGCGGGATCTAATATTGTCTTAAATCATGAACGCGCAAGGAACAGAATTCCAGCGTCTGAAACGCTTGCGCCATCGCTTCACCGACCCCTCGCAAGACTGCCTCGTGTCGTGTGGACGGACGGGGAGGTTCACCGGCGGAATTGCCTCCGCCGAAAGCTTTCGGGATTTGTAACCCAATTTTAAAGGTAAAAGGGACAAGCAGGCTTATAAAATGTACGGAAGCACGCCAATACCGGCCTAACTCAACGTCTTGCACACCAGGTAAACGAAGTCCAGCTCCTCGAAGAGCTTGCGGCACACAACGCCAAACCAGGAAACCGGTGCTGGAAGGCGAACCGATGCGAGATCGCGGAGCGGAGTCATCTCCCTGACGTCACAGTACACCTCACCCAATCCGGGCGCGGCGACCGCAGCGACGCTTGTGCTCGCTCTCGGGGCTAATATTCACACGCAACGCCACTGGCCAAGAAACGCCTTTGTTGGGCTGTAATTTCAAGGACAAAAGCGAGCGTTTTGATTCAATCTCTCCTTCGAAAAACTTGATGACGTAGCTGGGCGGTCGCAGTACCGCCCAGTGACGATATTTGAATGCGGCTCATAGATTGGACCCGAGCATTGCGTGGGCACTCGATTTGGGCTCGTGATAATCGATAGCTCGAGAAGCATTCGGGTAGTGGCCCATGTCCAATCGCTACAATGGCGACAATAGCCGACCCATAACAATGCGTGGAACTTAGCGCGTGTCCTGTGCCTTGCCAACCCCAGCACGTGTCTATGATCAACATTGGAGGCATAAATTCGGCCCTAGAACACGTGGCCGCATCTTCTGGCTGTAAATTGAGGGGGTGAACGCTGCTCGTTCTCCTTTAATATTTCCTGCGACTTTGATTGCGTGTGGTGAAAAACGAACGGGTATTTCACACGTCATTAACGTCAGGGATTTGTTTTAAGCGGTATTTGCGCAAAATACAAAAATCGTTGCATCGCCCCTTTAACGTATGCCGCAGCTCAGAGCGCGTGGAGAGAAGTCCCGCGCTGCAGAACCCATGGGATCCTGGGTTCAATCAACGAGCTTGAGTAAACTTAAAGCGGTAAACTAGCGGCCAAAAATGGCACCCCCCCCCCCCCCGGTTGCCACCATCTGACCGCTTGCCACGTTAGTGATCACGTGACTTTAAGATGGCTGCGTCCATAGGTGTGCCAGATCAGATTGGTCAGTTTACGGTAAGCAAGGCGGCGGTCCAAAATTGACCTGATCTGACTCTACGGTAAATGTTCTGTACCTTGGCGTTCGAAAACCTACCCGAGTCCAGTTGCTCTATCAGTCTTGTCACGTGACATGACCTACCAGAGTAACGCGGATCCATTTGAATAAGATTGGAACGTATCTCCAGAGGGCCCCTCTGCTTACCGTGATCTGGCCAATCTGACCTGGCCCACCTCTGGGCGCAGCCATCTTGACGTCACGTGATCACTATACTCCGTTTCAAACATCGCGTGCAACGCTGGGAAAGCTACTGAAGTAGTGCGCATGAAAAAACACACAAAATTGTGCTACTCCGCGAGATTTCGTGGACGAGCGGTACAAGGCGCTGCTCTTGCGATTCCGACATCTCGGTGGCGGTGGTTCGAATCCACTTAGGGCGCAAAGTTTTTTTGTTTTTGTTTTTTTTTGTTTTTTTTTTCTCGACCGATTTTTTGTGCAAGATTGTGCGTATTGCGGAAGTGCATATTTCAATTCCTCTTTTCTTGTTGATTTTATTTATAAGAAGGTAGACTAGGGGCTGGTGTTCCGCTCGAACTTGCGCCGGCCTCGTCAAAACGGAAGAACGGTCGAGATCCAGGGCGTCTCTATTTAAAGCCGTTTATTTGCATGGTAGCGTGAAAATCAGAGAGTACCTTGAGAGTGTGGTGGACGGTCCTTTATATAACGAATATTGTGATTAGGGGACCGCACTGCCATTGTTCAGACGGCTTGGCATTCCCTCACGTGATGTGACTTCATGGAAGTTTCCTTCAGAGTCAGAATACTCGCCGGTGTATGGAAGAAGTCATCCAGACGGCAGTATCTCGGTGCTGTGGTGCCGGCGCCCCCATGAACCGGGAGTGATTCACAATAGACGCGTACACAACACACGGCACTCGAGATCAGGATCGAGTGTTGTTTCCTTTTCGAGGAAAGCAGGGGCCTCGGAATACAGACACGGGCATGTGCGTCGTTTACTTAGCCGACCAAGGTTAAGGTGCCTCAGGCAGACGGAGCCGACCATGGTTACGGTCCCGCAGGCAGAAGAACCCAGACGCTTCGGAATGCAATCACGGGCACCGCCTGCTGTAAGGTCCCGCAAGCAGACGGAGCCGTAGGCACGATTCATCACCGACACAGTTCCTTCTTGACGCTTGTTTCACTTTGAAGCCATAAGGCCGATTTCAACACCAGAAACAACAGGTGGCAGTTCACAATACTGTCCGCGTGCTCGGAACTTTCACGTTGCGAGGTCTTCGCTTCGGGGACGCCACCTTGCCAGACACTCCGGTGTCGTTACTGACCGTCTCCAGGACATCACGGACCGACGTCTCCGGGAAACACGTTCTTGAACTCGCGTACACGTTGGCGATCACCTGCTTGCACTTTTGCGAGATCTTCACACAACGAATCTTCGAAAATATCCGAGCAGGAAAAGAAAGCTTCCCGCGTAAGACACCATCTTCACGAAACCGGCGAGGCAGGGGCAGCCGCACAACCCGAAAACCCGAAGCGAGTGCGAGTGCCGCAGGAACGAAAACGGAAAATAATTTGGAGTAGTTGACATTATCTTTTCCTTTTTATTGAAAAAGAATCGGTGTTCCCTCGAAATCATAACGCCACTATTAGTTACTAGCTACAAAGATGTACATTTTTCGCCTTTTTTTTGTTTTCAGGGGCCGCACTATTTTGTGGAGCGAACGTAGTCGCGGTCGGCTGTGCAAACCGGCGCGCTAGCTTTGACTACGTTGCACGCTATGTTTGAAACGGAGTATAATGTGGCAAACGGGCAAGATGGCGGCAACCGGGGGGGGGGGGGGGGGGGGGGTTGTTATTTCCTCGGCAGGTCCTGGGTTGCGGTTTACGGCTCTAAGTAATACTCAAGCTCGTTGGGTTCAATCCACACCCCTGCCCGTTTCGATCTGGATGAGAATCGTACCGACGTGCGTTCGTGTATCACTACAGACGCTTTCAGGCAACTTTGCATAGGCACCTCCATCTTGGCATCACGTCACCTCTCCGCCATTACCGGCCTTTACTTTTCCACTGCTGCACTATGTAAAGACCCTTTTTATGACAAACGCCACCTGGTGCTCTAGTCTTTCACGTCCCAGAGAACTTCCGGTCTATAAAAATAAGGCCCACACTAACACTGCTGCTCGAAATGTAGATGAAACCTCTAGCCACCAATTCTCCAGGTGAACGCCAAAAGAAGGAAGGAGTGCGAGATCTGTTAAAATGTTTCGAGTATTCCTTCAAATCCGCTTGCCTCCTCTAAGACGTAATATTGTACAGCCGAAGGCCTTCGTTAAATCTCCAACTTTGTTGTCCGTGTAGCATGGATGCTTTCTAGCACTTTGACATAAGCAAGCTCAACAGGCTTGCGCAGACGGTGCGACCAGAAATCGCTTGGGACGCAAGCGGCAGTTCGTGTTTGTAAAAAGCAAAAGGGCCTATAGCACTGCGTACTGCGCTTCGCCAGTCAACGCTTAGGTTTTAGGCGTATTGCACTGGCTAAATTTCTTATCTACAGCATAGACACTAGACCCCTATTGGGGTTGAACAACCTCACGCTCTCTAAACATACAAACAACAACATATTTACTTTTACTTGTTTACTATGGGAACCAGACCAGAAGTAATCCGAAGAAAATGTGGACGTTATGCAACTGCTGGATTGTCGCAGAAGGGGTATTGGCTGTTGGTGGTGAGGTACTGCCGGCCAATTCCGGGGGCGAGGGGACTCCAGTATCCCATCTCGCCTTCGGCGCCCAAGTCGCATTCTGGATCCAGTTCATCTTCGCACGGTCTAGAGACGAACTTGCATCGACTTCGCAACCTCAAGGATTCTAGGAAGTACACCGGGGCTCGGGCGTGAGCGCAGGAGAGACCTTAAAAAAAAAAAAGCAAATCGATAAATATATATTTTGTATTGTTTCAGTAAATGCGAGACGTTTCATTAGTCAAAGCAATCTGCAATTAAGTAATTCTTAAACTTGCCGGATTTAAGTTTGCTAGGACCGGAGTGATTGGAGTGCGGTGCACGCGTACGATGAAAATATTCCCGTGAGACTACTAGAGATTTCTAGTGGAGAACAAATTCCTGGGCTCATTTCTGGAGTTAATCACACTGCAGTCTCAGCAAAAAACATAATAAAAAGTTTGATTCTTTCTATAAAATAAAAAAATGTTAATGATTAATTTTCATATTTTAGAAGACACTCATTGATTTATTAGGTCACAAATTGTGGCTTCTGAATCCGCATTCTCCTGGAGTCGGCCTGTCGACTTCTCAAACAAAGAAAACTCTAATATCGCGCAGACCATAAATTAAAACATCTTAACTAGGAAAAAGACAAAAGCAACAGGACAGCAATGTGGCAAAAACTTAAAAATGATTACAACGGGGCATCGATAAGAGTACCGGGAGTGTAAATACCCACTGAAGAGTTCGCATCCAGGCTGTCTGTGCTCGTGGTTCGGGTAGAAGTCGACATGCCCGACGGCCTTCTCCATCCCCAGGTCTCCGTTCAGGACGTTCCACCCGTAACTGGTATGGATGACGTCCACGAAATGGGCGTCGGTTCGAGCCACGTGCACATCGGTGTCCTCAAATAATGGACCAGCCGCGTCCAAAGCTGCACGGAGGAGATATTTAGTTGATCTAGGTTGAATATAGAAACACTCAAGCTTGAGTTGTGAACGAGACCAATTATTCTGACGATACTTGTTTGCGGTGTCGCATTCATTGTGGTTTCAACTCCCACTTGATTGTAAATGCTTTGCTATTAGAAACATTCGTACAGCTATCCACCTCCCTGGATTCTCCTTACAAGCTTCACTGCTGTAGATTCTGGGACACGAAATCTCTCAAACTTCACCGAATGCAGGTTTCGCGTAAGAGCACTACTTTGGAGGGAGCTCAATGTAAACCTTAAAAGGTCAAGAAATGTTCAATAGCAGAAATTAACCAACTTTACTTCCAATGTGTCCTTTTTTTTTCCTTTTTTTTTTACTGTTGTAGTATTACTGTTATTAGAGCCCCATATTGGAAACTCCTCGAGGAATATTTGCGACCATTGATAAGATCAGCGGCACCTTGACTCATGAGCTGCTGCCTTATTGCAGAGCGAAGACGCTGGTCCCCATAAGGCGCGTGCAACAGGTCGCGGCGAAAAGTTTCGGTGTCGCCATCTAGCGAAAGCCCGGCACAACCCAAAGTGAGGACTCTGCCGATGCTCCTGACATTGCCGCCGCTTCTCAGCGCTGAATGGGTTTTCGTTCAGCCTCGCTGTCTCACTAGTAACTTTTCATTTTGTGTGTGTTAATTTTTTTCCTATAACACCTTTTTGCATTCTTCACGGACGATTACGAATTCTGCGTCTGGCAGGTGTCCAATGCTGCTAACTGGAGTGTTCTTTTTTTTTTTTTTTTTTCATCCTGAGAAAGCATGGTGAAGACGCTCTTTATTTAGCCCACTAATGTTTAATATTACATATCTTGTTCAGACTTTAACTGTCAGTTTTAAACAAATGGCACCTTAGCAGTCCTTGTTTCCTCCCTTGAGATAAACTTACTAGTTCTCTTTCCCGATTGTTGCATCTTTATAAAATCAGGGGCAGTCCTGCACCCAGCTGCCTTTACACACATCCTGGACTTTACTAAGCTTCATAAAATCACCAGCGCCACTACGTGTAATATATTGAAAATTACAGTGAAGAAGTGCATGCTCCTAACATGCAAAAAATGGATGACTGTAAATTTTAAGAGATTTAATGAAGAAATAATGTTTTTTTGCATTCTGAAGAAACACAGTAGAAAAGCCTAACTTGAAGTAAAAAAGAAACGAAAACAAACCATTGTACACAATTAAAATTAGGGAAAAAAATAAAGAAAACATAGGTTAGCTTCTAGGGGAAATCTTTTTTTTTTTTTTTTGTAAATTATTTTGATGAACGAGTTATTTTGTTAAGATCGTGAATTTAAACTAACCAATCATTTGGTCTATATCTTAGGCTAATCGCAGCCATATGAGACATCGATCGGATTTAGATGTTATGTAATGACCGTTATGACAATATAAAAATAAAAATAGGATATGCGGGTTTTTCTTTGTGTGTTTTGACCTGTGAGTAGAGAAAGCACTTGTGTGGTTCAGTTATAACTAATCTCGATAAAACGCAACAAACCCTAAAATCATAGCCAGAGTTTTTGGGTGTTGCATGCTATTTTGCTTTGCTGGCCACAAGCCGTCTAAAATAATTAACCCTCGTAGTATTGAGCATAAACGTTGAGCAAAGCACGTTTTATTGCATGAAAAAGAATCCCAATGGCGTCTGCATGTAGGCGAAAAAGGGAAACGTCCAGCATATTTTTTTTCTCTTAATGGCAACTTGGCGCCGCAGCTACTGCACTGTAAGAAAGGCAAGAGTTGCTTGAATGTGGGTTCCTCGGGACCCGATTTGTTGAACAGACACAGGAGCCTTCTTTCGTTTTGGTAAACACACATAAGTCAATTTATTATTTCAACTTTAAGCGCAACATTTGCCACAAAAAAAATAAGGTGCAAAAAAAAAAAAAAGGCAAAGTATTAGATTGTTCTTGGCGTTGAGACCCGCCATTGAAATTCGTACGGAGGACGAAACAGACACTCGCTTAGAAAAGAAAATCTTGATACATAATACAACACGGTTCCTTGTGAAAGCATCTGTAAGTGGTTCGAGCACACCATCGCGCTCGCACACAGCTTTCTCCACTGTTTGAACCTCTTCTCTTCTTTCCCAGTTGCTGTTCTCTTAGATATAGATGGAAACTTGCACCTTTTCAATCTCGTATGTTGTGCCACCGGTAGCAGAACAATAACGAACTACCGCGCCGCGTCCGAAAGCGAGCGACCACGCCGTACCGCAATGGCGTGCGCGATATAAACAAACCCGGCATCCTCACATTCCGGGTATCCCCTGACCACCTGACATTCACGGGCTGCTCAGTGGCGCCTCCTGGCGTGGTTCTCACCGCGAATGGAGGAGCTGCATTTTGAGGGACTTCGTCGTCCGCCGTGATCTCAAGACATCGCTCCATGCGATTAAGGCATTTTTAGACAGCTAAAAAAACATTTCTCGAAAATCTCGATTTCTTCCTGTTCAGTAAAGTAACACACAAAAAAAGGTTGATCAGTGTTTGGACGCGTGGTAAGACCAATCTTTGTTTTGGATATTTTTTTATGCTTGTGATAGACTCAAGTATATGTAATGAACACAATTAAAATTGTGTCGACATTTTATACACTTTCATTACACTTGTTTGGTACAGACAATAAAAACAACGACATATATTTGACTTTTCCTCGCAGTACCTTCGATCAGACTACCCGGAGCCCAAGTAACAATAGCAAGTCGTATTACGGATGGGCAACAGGGGATAGCACTGCAACTAGATTTCTTATAATTGCAGAAGAGTCTTTAACTGATTTTTGTTGTATTTCACCCGAGCGGAAAGCTGGCATATACTAAGCATGACATAAATACCTGTGATCCTACTCAAACGAGTTCCGGTGCTGTTTTCGAAGTGTCTTCCGCAGAAACCGGTGACCTGCGCCCCGAGGCTGAAGCCAATCACGTGAATCCTGTCCGGATGTACGGCGACAGAGAACTGGTCAATGAGCATCTGCAGCATAATGGAAATCTGCCTTCCCACGAGGGCGCTGTTGCCGCACGCCTGAAGGTAACGGGGCATCTGGCAGCCCCTTGGCCAATCCACCACCACCACGTTGCTGTCCGTCTGAAGAAAAGTCGGAAAGTCCCAGATATATGTTTTTCAAAATCTTGACTTCTTTACAAAACGTATTCGACATAAATGGCACGGAGGACAGGAAAAGACACTAACAAGACGGGACTACGATGGAAGAGAGAGAAAGATGTCTGAACGGCGCTGCCTCGCCATGGAACAATTGTGCGCCGAAGGTTTGCTCGCATTTCTGAGAAGCTCCATGAGGTGGAAGTATGCCTAGGGCAGTAAGCAAGCCTACAAGGGTCACACAAGAAATCGCCCTTATTCGGGCAGACCTTTACGAAGCCCCTACGCGCCGCGCCGTGCGCGTGGCCCCCCTAAACCGACAGTGCCCCTGCCGGGCGGCGCGCGAAGCCCCACCAAACTTTTGCCGCCTTGGCTGGCCTTGTTCAGACACCTCTTTCTTCTTCCACCGTGGACGAGACTATCGCTTCTACAAGCGATCACTACAAAGAAGAAGAGGAAACATGGACCGTTGAAACTGGGCGAAAGAGAGAATAAACATCTTTATTATGAGAAAGCGATGGGGAGGAGTCCTTAGTCCAAGACGCCTTGAGCCTTCCCTGCTTCCACAGCCCTCGACACGAGCATGTTTCAGCTCTTTCGCTCGCCTGAAGTTTCCCATGGTTCATTGGCGTGCGCCTGGGCTACAGACTTCACAGTTGGTTCTCACATATACAGCCGATGCATTAACAGACAGAAGGCCGCATGACGCTGTCACTACTGTCAAGACTAAACAAACCCTGCTTGAATTCTTTACTCTACATACGTCAGCCCACCACGACGGGTCCGAATCCGAAGCCGAGAGTCCGAGGACACAGTCAATGATTATACCCGAATTTCAACCAAGACTGGAGCAGCACTTGTGCCCTACCTGCGCCCGCACTCGATCACAATGCACGGGGTGCTGAGAAATTTCGAATGCGCATGTATGGTATTGTCGCGGTGGTGTCTGACACTGATCGAACCATCCGTAATTGCCTTGTTTTCGTAAGCGGGCTCGCCAGGTTCCTCTACAATCGGGTGAGACATCAGGTCACTTGACACGACCCTGATGATCGGACGTGTCTCGAATGCTGCGCTACAGTTGTAAACATAACATAAATATAATCCAAATGGAAGCTTTACAATGTACCTCTTGGAATCAAAGCCGCGGTTACACTGCTAATAGATAATACAAAAAGTCTGCAGACAGCGTGTTCCTTCCTTGTATGACAGTTCTGTCCAATTGGTCATAGAAAAACTGTCTAGGCGATTCCGAGGCTTCTACAGACGGCTGTCGTGTACACCTGAGGAGTGGTAGGCGCTTGTCAACTCCCGGGCTTCGATAAAGCCCTGTTCCTAACGCCCGCTCTTCGGTGCTACACCCCTGCCATCAACCCAGTGACTACGCTCCGCACCACAAACACCATCCTGTCTTGTCACCATCGACACCCAACCTTCATCCTACAACCAAACCGGCGTTCCAAATCTGGTTTTCCAACCTAAGATCAGTGAAAAGTAAACTGCCTGACTGTGGGGTCCTATCGAATCACAACCGGACACTATATTCGCGGCATGCGAAACATGGTTGGACAGCTCGATCAAAAAAACAGATACCTACGATCTCCTGCAGACCTCACTTTCTACCTTTCTGCACTTTAATAAACGGAGCGTAAATATATGTGTCACAGGGGGCTGCAATGCACATCTCAACTGGTCAGACCCCATCACGCCAGTACGTACCGACTTGCAAGATGACGACCTTTTAAGCAAAATCGAACCATTCGGGTTAACACAATTGTGTTACGAACCAAGCAACGCATCGAAGAGAAAGCATGACTCATTTTTTGCATCGAATTACGCATTCATAGCGAAATGCTTCAAAGAAACCAGCCCAGCCGAATCTGATCGTAGGGCTAATGTAACAGAGACGTATATAAACTTTCCAAAACCGGGCGCCCATAGTAGACAGCCGAAACGTTTCGCGAAACTCGATTTTGAACACCTACATTCGCTCCTTCACTTCGCTTTTTAAGGAATGGTGTTTCAGGAAGACAAAATTGAAATCGCCTACAACCTTTGGCTTGACCTATGCACGCCATCGAAACGGAGTACGTTCCGACACCCCAAGGCGGAAACAAAAAACGTGCCTTTTGGATCACGAAAGTAATCCTACACTAAACTCGCTAAAAACGTCAGTTGTTTGTGAGAGCCAAAAGGAACAACTGTGTTACCATGCTAAGTATTGTCCTCACTGTACAAAAAGATCCCAGGAAGATAGTGCGGAAGTCCCACCAGGATTATGTCCTGTCGCAATACGTGCAATCAAAGAATCGAAGGTGCTTACAAAAGACGACATAAATGAAACAGACGTGCTCTAGACATATGTCAAAATGTCAAAGCTCTCAACGACACTGAGGATGCGGAACCTTTCAGTATCCAATTTACCTCAGTTCGGACAATCCGTCTTTCAGATCACCAGCTACAACTTTTTCAAACCTCAGGTGAGTCAGCTCAGGCAGTCCACTCCTCTTTATACGACATCAATATCAGCGTAACGGCCGTCCAGGAAACCCTAACTCGGGTGAACCCATCGCAGTCGCCTGATCCCGACGGCATCCACCCCGCTCTCCTGAAGGCGAGTGTCCACTCGAGAAAACTCTGGACACCAGAAAAATTTCGGGCACATGCAAATTGGCGTATATCATTCCAGTCTACAAGGGAAAGGGAGCACCAGCTCAAAAATTAGAATCGTATCTGCCCATCTCCACCACCTCAGTGGTCTGCCGAACAATGGAACGTGTAATGAACAGGGAGATACACGAACTCCTTGACACCTTGACACCCATGCCCTGCTGTCGCCAGCCTCCCGTCCTGTCAGAAGATGGAAGACTTCCTTCCTCACCGTCGTGCGTAGGATTAGTGACAGCCTCGACAGTGCTGTAGCATGCGAACTTATACAGCTAGCCTTTACAAAACCATTTAACAAGGTTGACCACTCCATTTTACAGAGAAAAAACGTAAGCATGCCGGTTTCCGGGACCGAATCTTAGTCCATGGCTAACCGACTTCATTTTCAGCAGACAACAGTGTGTATACTTGAAAGGTTCTCCGTCAAAACCCCGATATGCTAGATCGGGAATACCACGAGGGTATAGTGTTCTTGACCCCACATTCTTCTTCATCTTCATCAATGAACTCGTTCTGCATATGCGCTCAACTCCCGTGCCATATACAGACGACCTCACCCTTGTCTGACCTATCAAGTCGCTCAAAGACTATGACGACCTTCAGCATGATCTTGAAAGGGTACACATTTGAACCACATTCAACAAATTAGCCCTCAGTGCTTACTTCGCAACATACTCCCCAACCCGAACGAAGATGTCATATAACCGCTTTCACTCCTGAGAATGAAAGACCAAGCTATCAACCACAGCGACAACATCGAGATACTCGGAGTGACTTTGGACAATAGATTAACCTTCTCAAAACATGTACATTAAATTTCAACACGGTCCCGGCGTTTGCTGGGGATCATACAAAACTTCAGCGAGGGCCTAAGACCCATCGTGATGATGAAACTCAACACCGCCCTTGTTTTGCCCATCCTTGAATGCTGATCGCTGATCTGGTCCCCTCGGTCCACACCAAAGCAGGACATTTTGTAGCGGATGCAAAGAAAAGCTGCACTCGTGATATATGCCCGAAGCTCTCCATCCTCTCGCCTCAGGCCAAAGGACATCTCGACGAGGCCACTCCCATATAGCAGCAAGATAAACAAACCTTGCCACCAGACGAGACATGGCCACCCTGCGACTTATGCTAACAATCATTGAACCAGGGGTACTCCACGATGATTGTTAGAACGACGATCGTTAGTGTTAGCGGGGGAGGGGGAGACTCGGGTCCCCACCACCTCCATGAAATTTTACCAATTAAAATCATTAATTTAGTGGAAATTCCAAACGTTACTATCCTGCTCTCTTTAGGCGCGTTGTGCATTATATTTTGACAAAAATGTCAAATCTTTGGGTACAGGAGACGTAATACAGCAATTACGAGAGTCGTTCGATCTAGCTGCACCTTCTGCACCGGTGCAGGAAAGTGTAGGGCCGTGTACTTCCGGTCGTATCTCAATACACGTACCGGGAGTACACCGCCCTACACTTTTCAGCACCGGTGCAGGAGGGGCCGGTAAATCGAATGAGCATATTGTTAGTAAACGCCGTCTAACGGCGCCCCCTGGTGCCATGCTACAGGGCGCAAAAGAGGGACGTGTCACGATCTATGATTAGATTTCGAATTGGAAAATCGGTCGCCCATGTATGTATTCGTTTACTATGCTTAGAGCCCGTATATAGATTGAGTTATCCCCCTAAACAGGCAATCTCAGAATCTACTTCAGCGCCCCAGGGGATCAGCCGATTTGGCGAAACGTGCGGTAATTCAATGGCTGTCGTCTGCGAGCTGTCGGTTGGCAAACATCGCGACGCAATATTTTGTCGAGCGTTACCTGCTGCAGTAGCGCTGCTTTGGCGTCCTGGACCCAGCTGGCGAACCTGTCCTGCGTGAACCCGTGTACCAGGACAGTGAGGTCCTTGGGCGAATCGAGTTGCCCTTCCCTGATTCCTGCGAAGTTGGGACGCGTCAGCGACAGCGGGTTCACGGGGTTGTGCTGCGTGTAGAGCAGGAAGTCGGTCCCGATGTCTCGGGGATCCTGTGGCAGTGCCTTGGGGTGTGTCATGCGGTCGCTGTGATGTCTCGAGAAGCAGCCCACGCTCGGGTAACAAACTTCGTCCGCTTTTTCGATGGTTTTTGGCATTTGCTGAAAGACAACAGTCAAATGAGGGGGCGGGGGGGGGGGGGGGTGCACGTGCTAAATTAACGAAGAGCATATGGCACACTGCACGACCCAGCGAAAGAAAAGATCAATTTCGACCACATGGGGACTTTTTGATGCGCACTTGAAAGCTTAAATTGCTGAAAGACGTGACCCTGGGCTGCCAGCAGGAGGAGTGTCGGGATGCATAGTGTTTCAATCACAAGTCATAATTCAGTTTCATTATGCAACCTTTAATTGAAGCCAACGTAATAGGGCGAATTCGGAACTACAAACGTTTTAATTTAGTATTGCGTAAAACCATCCAAATATGTATACGTTTGAAAAGCTTTTTGTCACTGTATTTATTGATGAAAGCGTTATACAAATGCGATGTGTAACTTTGTAGAAGACATGTAAAGCGTGCCGCCCCCCCCCCCCCCCCCCCCCCATTTCTTACCCTAAAGAAATTATTAAAAAAATTTTTTTTGTATTGGTTTAATTGGGAAAATAGTCTATGTATCACCGAACCTCATGGTCCGCCAAAATGTAGCGCCAGAGGTTCGAACCAGATGCCAAAGTTTCAGCACGAACCGTTATCTTACTCAAAAGTTATAAGTGATTTTCAAAAATTTTCGATGGAAAATGGGGCCCGTTTTAGCACGTGTTCGGCAGCTGCATGGAACCATAGAGTTCCATGTATTTGAGAGGTCGATCGGCCGCCATTTTCCAATCGAAAATTTCAAGAATTACTTATAGATTTCGAATAAGATAACGGTTAGTGCTGAAACATCGGCACCTGGTTCGGACCTCTAGCGCTGCATTAGGACGGAGAATGAGCGATTGGCAAAACATTATTTTTTTGTGAAGAAAACAAACAAAAAAACTTGTACACTTTCTTTGGCAGAGGGGGGGGGGGGGGGGGGGCATCTTGTAGAAGCATGCAAACATGAAAAAAATTGCAAATGAACTTCCCTGACACATACTTTTAAAAAATGACTGTCTCTTCACTTTCCCCCAGGACCCGGAGGCAGCGTATCACAGTGTACAATGTAAGGATCCCAGTGAATGAGGAAGCTCAGAATACGATTACGTATCTGAATGTGATGTGAGCAGAGAAAATGATCATCGGAAACATCTTGCTCGACGTCCCTGCAAACATCGCTTTTTTTATTTTCCCTTATCGTATTTCGAGTTTTGTCATTTGATGGAGTCGTTCTAATGTTCACCGAGATTGGCTGTTTCCGTGTTTTTTTGTTGTTTTTTTGTGTTTTTTTTTCAGAAAGGTGTACTCGCAGGTATTCCTCAGAGTGTAATGTTTCTTTGAACTTGTGCGAAAACACGCTGCGCCTGGACATAAGATCTACCAGGTCGAAATGATTTTATTTATTGTGCACTTACTTTTGCAACCTCTGTGTCATAGTCAATAGCTTCGATGGTCCTCTTGTCGTCTTCGCTTTCTCCTAACGGTATGTCGGGCTCAAAATGTGCCCGGACTTCGGTCTTGAGCACGAAAATCGTGGCTTGCGAAAACACTGAAAGGTTTCAAAAGTCAGGCACGCTTTTGCGGCCAGCCCACCTTCAGTGAGCTAACTAGACTGCTTTCAAATTCACAAAAGGCGAATTTAAAGGATCTACTTATATTCGCTTGTTATCAAAAGGGCAAACTACGAGAAGAAATCAAATAAAAAATGTCTCATGGTCGGAAGTATTACCAAAAAGCAAAAAAAAAAAACAAGAAACCTTGATAAGTTGGCTAATTTACTTACGAATGATGTAACTTGGTATCATCGTTGGTAATCTGAAGCGACTTGCTTTTTAACCTAAAAAGTAAATCTAAAAAAAAGTGATATCAGTCAAATGAATGTAGGGGCGCATAGAGCAGGTTTAGATTGAACATTGCATATAAACCCCGGGACTGCAGGCCAAAAGCGACACGAACACTAAAAGGTATCGAGACCCTTTATTGTTCGTGTCGTTATAATACCTGAAGTCTCGGGGTTTAGTTCATGTCCAGTGATACCAGTTTACGCGGAAGAAAATAGTGTAACGTTTAAAAAAGCCCTCGTCGTCTTGCTATTGGAAAGTACAAACGTACTCACAAACTCTCCTCTCCTCAGCAGCCAAGTTTGCGGATAGGGTTCACCAAATATCCAAAGTTCATGAATTTCATGCGGAGTACAGGTGCGGCATACCCTCAGGCCTTCACAGCATGAAATTGTCTTTGAAATGAATCGATGTAGAAACTAAAATGGTGGAAGGCTTAAACAGTCCTGCTGACTTTGCTGGCGGTCAGCTGCACGTATAATTTGACGTTGTTAAATGATGCCACGGGCTGCTTGCAAAGCAGCATTGGCTGTGCCCTTTTTTTGCTATCATTAGTCTCTCCCCGAGTTTTGCTTCGCTTCACTGAAGCTTTTCTTTTCACTGTTTTATTTGTTTAGGCTGCTTGAAGCTTTCACGGCGGGGAGGCATGCGGGTTCTGCCATCGCGTCTGTAGGCACTCAGTGCCGCTCTTGTAATGGCGCTTGTTTGAGTTAAGTTACCTTACTCCTTAGACGCTACTTGACTCGTGACATGCCAGATATGTTTTTTTATACTTTCTTGCATATTTATAATCTCATTTTATGTGCTGTGAGAAAAATAAAAGAGCATTTTAAGAGTATACTGTGAGCTCGCGCCATGCTTTGTTCCGAACATGCTTGTAACGCCTTTTTTAGCGCACAGAATATTCTTTCAATGTATGCCTCGTGATCATGGACAAATAAAGCTCAACAATAAAATGTTTGTAATGTTTCCTTCGTGTCATTTATGCTTCGCGTATTTAGCAATTTTTGTACCTATAACTTCTTGCCTTGGTTGCAGACTCCAATATCGGGTTGCATTACTGAAGATATCATTAGGTACGCAAAAAAATGAAAGCCGTTTACAACTCCCTGTAATGCCGAATTAGAGCGCAGCTCTTGAGGATGAGGAGGGAATGGCACTAAGGGGGTGTCACGTGACCTTGTGGGGGTCACGTGACCGTGGGGTGTCACGTGACCTGGGGGTCACGTGACGATGCCGATGCCGATGTCGTTATCAGCGACGTAACTGATGACGTCATCAGTGATGATGACAACGCCGATGCGGATGCCGGTGGCGTCATCAGTGACGTCACTGATGACGTCATCAGTGATGATAGCAATGACGATGCGGATACCGGTGACGTCATCAGTGACGTCACTGATGACGTCATCAGTAATGATGACAATGCGGATGCCGGTGACGTCACCAGTGACGTCACTGATGACGTCATCAGTGGCGAGGACGTCAACGGGGGTCACGTGGCCTCGGGGGGGGGTCACGTGACCTGGGTAACCCTTGTGAGGGTAACTCTCGTGACCCTCGTGGGGGTAACTCTCGTGACCCTCGTGAGGGTAACTCTCGTGACCCTCGTGAGGTTAACTCTCGTGACCCTCGTGAGGGTAACCCTAGTAACCCTTGTGAGGGTAACTCTCGTGACCCTCATGGGGGTAACTCGTGACCCTCGTGAGGGTAACTCTCGTGACCCTCGTGAGGGTAACTCTCATAACCCTCGTGACCCTCGTGAGGGTAACCCTTTTGAGGGTAACTAACCCTCGTAGCCCTCGTGATCCTCGTGAGGGTAACCCTCGTTAGGGGGTCCCCTTACGAGAATTACCCTCTCACGCGAGGGTTACTCGCGGTTACGCCGACGGCGACGGCGACGGCGACGCCGCTCAAGCCGGGAACGGGCGCCTAAGAGCTGCGCTCTAAAATTATATGCTTAAAAAAATGAAAGCCGTTTACAACTCCCTGTAACACCGAATTGCAGCACAGCTCTTGAGGAGGAGGAGGGAAGGGTACTAAGGGTCACCTTTTCTGGGAAGAGGGGGGGGGGGTGTCGCGTGACCTGGGGGGGGGGTCATGTGAGCTTGGGGGGTCACGTGACCCTCCCGAAAACATTTTTAGTGAGGAATTTCGCTAGATTTAGCGGAGAAATTTTTCCGCCAGATTTAGCGGGGAAATTTTTCCGCTAGATTTAGCGGGGAATTTTTCCCGCTCGATTTAGCGGGGAATTTTTTCCACTAAATCTAGTGGGGAAAATTTTTCCGCTAGATTTAGCGGGGAAATATTTCCGCTAAATCTAGCGGAGAAAGTTTCCCGCTAGATTTAACGGGGAAATTTTTCCGCTAGATTTAGCGGGGAATTTTTTCCGCTAGATTTAGCGGGAAAAAGTTTCCGCTAGATTTAGCGGGGAAATTTTTCCGCTAAACCTAGCGGGGAAATTTTTCCGCTAGATTTAGCGGGGAAATTTTTCCGCTAGATTTAGCGGAAAATATTTCCCGCTAAATCTAGCGGGGAAATTTTTCCGCTAGATTTAGCGGGGAATATTTTCCGCTGATTTAGTGGGGAAGTTTTTCCGCTAGATTGAGCGGGGAAATTTACCCATAATGCACTGCGCGGTTACGCCGACGGCGACGCCGACGCCGACGCCGCTCAAGCCGGAAACGGGCCCCTAAGAGCTGCGCTCTAAAATATAAGTTTTACGCTGGACGTATACGGACCTAATACTGGGGTCCTCGTACTTTAATTTTGAGAACTCAACGAATAAACATTCAGTGACACACTAGGTCCTGACACAACGCAGTTTGTTCATACAATGATAGCGTCTCGCAGCATTCCTCGCCACCCAAATAAGGTCTGTGCACAAGCGCATTCTACCGCAATTATAGATACAATGACAAACTTGAGGACGTGCACAAGGCGTGAAAAAATTAAGAATTGCATCTTCTAGCCAACTGTGTCGTATTCTGCGAACGTAATTATTAGGGAGTTTTAGTAGATCGTTTTCAAAGGCCCGCTACCGCTACGAGCGCGCGCTTCAGAGCACGCATCGAAGTGGCAGCGCGAGCTCCCGCTACGATATTAGCGTGGCCTGAAAACACGATCTACTAAAACTCTTTATTATCTATCCTGTTAAGGCACCTAACCAGATCTGCCCCTCAATTTATTTTCAGCTTATCTTTTGAAAAATGGGAACGTTTTTACCTGAACCCAAGGAGTTCACTTGTACTTTGGATAAACTTTTAGGAACTGACAAGAAATAGGGAATAATTTCCGGGGTCATTCTTCGTTGTAATTTTTTAATTTCTCCTTTTTTTCTCACTTTTTCAGTTTTTAAGACAAGCGCATGAGAAACTCTTAATTTTTTATTATTATATCCAAGTCTAATGCTACTGGTCAGGTTTGCGCAAACGAAGTTTAACTCCTGCGAACCTTCGACAGTAGAGTATACACAGCCGTGGGTTTTATTCGTGAATTCGGTTTTGTCTTTAAACCATCGCTGTTTATATTTAAATGTGCTTGTTACAAACAACAGGGAACCAAGTGATTCTTCGCTTCTCCTTACTCTTAACTATCAATTTATAAAACCACTAAGATATTCTCGACCTTGTTTACTCTAAGAAGTGCCTGTGCGTCCACTTACCCGCAAAACACTAAAAGAGAGAATTTATTAGATCTACGGAATCAGCTCAGCGAATGAGGAGGCGGAACATCCGTTCAGACCTAAAAATGAAGTCTGCGCTGTCTACGCAATGCAAAGCGTCATGCTTGCATTGCGTAATACTACAGCGCGGACTTCATTTTGAGGTCTGAACGGATGTTCCGCCTCGTCATTCGCTGAGCTGATTTCGCAGATCGCAGAAATTGGCTCTTTGAGTATTTTTGTGGGAAAGTAGACGCACAGGCATTTCTTAGAGTGTAAGCGAGCGAGCCAACGAAACTGCGAACTGGTGAGGAAGCAATCAAGTAACACACGACTCAAGGTGAGGCAGCTTGGGCTTTGTGTTTTATTATAAAGTTGAATTCATCAATGGTTCACATATGACTGAAAAAAAAGGCACCGCTTCATACGCTGTAGGAGATAAATACGTTTCTATCAAAGTACAGCTGCGATAATGGCAGGTTTAACGTGCATCAGCCAGGACGATGATCGTGAAGAGATTGCGATCTTAGATCTCAAAATGGAGTCGACGATTTTTTTCTTTTTTTTAGAAACAACGAGCTCTTTTCAAGACCCTATCGAGTAGCACTGGCGGTTGCCATTTCTTGGTGTCGCAACCTACCGCTCCTTACAAAGGGTACAGCTATTAGCGTCCATCCATCCATTCATTGGACACGTGGTGAATGTGTCATGTGACGTGGGCGGGGTTGCTGTTTTCTTTGTTTTGTTTCCTTGTGATTAAATTTCAGTTGAGAGTCAGCGCTTGTCCTGTCTGCACTTCCTCTTGTCCCCGTTTTCTGCGCGCTGTTTGCCTTTTCGTCAGAAGAAAACAAAACTGAAGGGAAGAAGTAAAAAAATGATTGCAAAAGAGAGAAAAAAAAACTCCTTTTTTTAGCAGACAAGGAATAGTCGGTATGAGGTGACGGAGTGATTGATGAAGGGGTGGTGACGATGAAGTTGCATGCGGATGAACAAAAAATACAAAATGTATGTTGCATTCTCTTTTTTTTTCTTTTTTTTTTTTTTTTCGTGATGAGCCTTGCCGTGAAATTTGCTTTCTGCATTGGGTGCAGGCGTAAAAATACACGCGCCTATCCTGATGAAGGTGAATATGTACAAATCGACAACTTAGAAGACGCAGTCATGTTGTTCATACATAATTAGTGCAAAATACGGGGTGTTCGCTGCAGGCACGACGACAGAATTATCTCTGCTTGAAGCATGTTCGAAGGCTTCACACGTATGCATGCTTCGAACATGCCTGGAAACAACTTTTTGTCCGACAAATCTGACAGGGCCGTCGTACGCAGAAAGGAACGCTCCTCAGACTGCGTCTGGAGACTGCCTGTTGTACGATGTACAGTCTACGGCGATATGAAAGACCCACTGGGAGCGCGTGGCCGAGGCGGTGGCTGGCGGGGGCGCTGCGAGCGCTCCGGGCAGTTCCGTTCTGCTTCGAGGGGAGGACGCTCACTCGGGGCTCAGCTAAAGCGCGCGCAGTTTGTGCTGAGCCCCGAGTGAGCGTCCTCCCCTCAAAGCAGAATGGAATTGCCCGGAGCGCTCGTAGCGCCCCCGCCAGCCACCGCCTCGGCCACGCGCTCCCAGTGGGTCTTTCATATCGCCGGAGACTGTACATTAGCAGTGTGAACGCGGATCTAAGTGACGAGGGACGGACGTCTCGGCTGTCTTTAGAGCGTCCTCGTCGTCCTAACTCAAGCAGAACGGACAGTCGTCGTTGGTCCACAGGTACTGCTCTCCCCTTCCTTTGGCGTCCGGGCTGTGGTAGCCCATCTCGCCAAGGTCGTCCCCGGAGTCGCTGCAGTTTCGCTTGAGGAAAGCGTCCAGACCTTCCGGACACTTGTGCGCCCGGAACCGGCAACTCTTGGCCGACTGGATGGATTCCATGAAGTACTCCACGGCACGGCGATGGTGGCACGCTATATCTGCGCCCGCAAGAAAAAAGAATTTTAAAAAACACACACACAATCGAGTTTAGTGATTTCGTGAGAATATTTCGATACAGTCTTCAATGACGCGCGATCAGGACTCCGGTTGACCGATTCCGACAAGGTAACCGATTCTGCCGAGAGTGTTAACTGAGCGTACATTCCATCCGGTGGCAAGGTATACTCGCTGATGCGATCAAAAGAATGCTACGACACCAATCGTAACTATATGACCTTTGAAAATGTAAAAAGCACACTGACCATTGTACGATCTTTATTCGAAACTTATCGTTCTTGAGTCTACTCCGTATTCGATGCATCTAGTGCGGAGAGTCGAAGTCTGTAACGTTTCCAAGTTGAACGTTCCTTGAGTTCAGACTCTAGTTTAGCTAGATTTGAGAGTGGTTCCAACTGCTCTATCTAGGTATCGCGCTTTACGGCCCACGTCTGCAACACAATGCCCGTAAGGAAGTGCCAAAAACGAGGAGTGTCACCAAACTTTGCTCACCCCCTCCGCCTGCTATGCTAACCTCCTCGCCGCGGGGAAACGCACGCATGCGTGCGTGTTGCACGCAGTATCATTATTATTATTATTATTATTTCCTGTCTTTGTTATCCTTCCTATCTTTGTTACCCTTCTGCATTTGTTGGGTCTTGTATAAAATTGTTTTTTGTGTCTTTGTTAATTTGAAGTTATAAGTGTGCCAGCACCCAAACCGCGAGGTTGTTTCTGGACACTCTAATAAAATTGATTGATTGATTGATTGATTGATTGATTGATTGATTGATTGATTTGCTTCGTAAAATGGTTCTTAAAATGAAGGTTCGTATTTACCTCAAAAACCATAATAAAAAGGTTTCTTCTGGGGGTCATAACTGATTTACTCTTTTATGTGATGAATGAAGATACATGTGGGTGAATTTTAGATTAACTTTCTGTTATTTTGTCAAGACGTAGTCGTTTCCAACGCCAAAAGCATGGTTTCTTCCTCCAACAACCAAATCGTGTAAGAAGTACACTTCGTGCAGCGCATGGTCATGAGCAAAACTTACTTTGTTTATGTAACAACGGGTATAGTAGTTTCCAAGTACACGATGAAGGAGCAGGAACAGTACGGTCAAGTCCGCTCAAGAGTTTTAATTACAACATTAGCTTGTCGCGCCTCCTTCCATGCAATCTAAGTGGTGGTTCCTAAAATATGGTAAATCCAACAATAATATTTAAAAAAAAACTGTTTTAGCGAATTGTCACTGTGCCTCACCGAAGAACCAGCAGCCGGGTTGGGACCTCCCTCCGTTGGGGTAGAAGTTGGCGTCGCCGAAGGGCTTCTCCATGCCCAGGCTGCCCTTGAGCAGGTCGTTGCCCGCGCTCGTGTGGATGGCGTCCACGAACCTGGCGTCTTCCTTGCACACGTGGAAGTTGTAGCTCTCGAACAACGGACCCGCCGCATCGAGAGCTGTGGCATACAAAAACAGAAGAAAAAAATATCGTCCATCATTACTTTTTTTGTAAACTCAACTAACCCTGTAATATTTTTTTTCTTTTAATAGAACAAAAATACTGTTTTAACCAATCGCCACAGTTTTTCTTTTTTTTTCTTTCTAAGAAGGGTGGGAGAGTGTGGCCATGTATTTAACGATATGTGAATACACTGATGTCTCGTTAGTATGGACACCTCCGTTCCCCCCAAAAAAATGTCCATAATGTGAGTTGTCCTTAATAGCGAGACAAAATTGTGTGAATTTTCACAGTTTGTACCCGAAAATGGTGTCCATATGGCGGGCTATCTATATTAAAGGGGTTTATATATTAACGAGACATAACTGTATATTGTTTTATGCCTGAAAAAATTGTGATTTTTAGTGGGTTTTTTTTTTTTTTCACTTCATTTACATGTTGCATAAATAAACCTTGTTTTTTCTTTCCTTTCTAACGGTTGCAGGATTAGAATTCTCGCTTTTTAGGGTTCCAACTGCTTGAAATAGCCCCTCTTCTCTTTGACGAATTTCTTCGACGGTTGCAAGAAATTAATTCTCGCTTTTTAGAGTTCCGACTGCTTGACATAGCCGCCTCTTCCCGCGAAGTACTTTACCTGTCTCGAATTTATGCCTAAAACATACCACTCAGTTGTCCTAGGGAGCGTTTTGTGTTGGTCCCTGTTGATGCTTCCCTTTACATATATATATGTGTGTGTATACCAAAAGAAAAAAAGAGTTCTTGAGTTCGCACCGCACACACAAAATCATCATTAGGTTTTAGTCGAACACTAATTAGACGCAAATGTCTGAAATCGTACCAGAGATCCGTCCAATCTTCGTCTCGGTTGTCCTGCCGAAGTGCCTTCCCGCGAAGCCCGCCACCTGGGCTCCGAGACTGAATCCGACCACGTGCACCCGAGCCGGAACCACGGTTCTCGGGTGCCTTTCGGTCAGGAGTTGAAGCAGCCGCGAGATCTGCCTGCCCACAAGCGCCGTGTTGGCGGCGGCAGTGATGTACATGGGCTGTAGGCAGCCCTCCTCCCAGTCTACGGCCACGACGTTCACATCTTCCTGCGCGAACGATTCCGCGAGAGATTTTAATACACGGGTCATTCGGACGGAGCTAACTCACTTCTACAGTTCCGTGAATTCGATGACGCAACAACTCCTACGGAGCGCTCTCCTTGCCGTGCCCGATGTCCATATGGTGTCAGAAAGGTACGAACGCATCGTAGAACACATTTCGAAACAACGAATTAAAGACTAATCGTTGTAGACACTGGTCATGCATTCTTAAAACAGAAGCACGGTCTCCATGATGGCAGTGTGACTGTGGCTTTGATGAAAAAGGCATGCAGACAACTCGTTAATTCATCTTAAAACTGAATTCAAATGAGATCGTAAGCTGAAAGGTATGTGCGCCCTTGTATGCCTTCTCTCGTTTCATATGCTAGCCAGCACGCTTCGTCTCTCCTTCTGGGCTTGATATAGATATAGATCTCTTCTCTCACAAAATAATAAATTTTATTATTACATCTATATACTCACAACTATATCCTGTCCCTCCTGTCAGACAAGAACCTCGAGTACCATACGATTAACTTTTTATTCGAGGCGCTTGAGATATAACCGACGTCACTAAATATGGCACCTGAAACACAATGATCTTCATAGCGACTAGCTGATGCTTTGATCGTTATACCGTCATTTGTCGTTTCAGCATACAACAATTGTATTTCGTACAAATCGAGTAGAGTCTTTAAAATGGACAACTGCTAAAAGGGGTGTTCAAAATGCATTCTTCAGAACGCGTGAAGCGACACTTGTCCGCCATATATGAAGTACAACTTGAAGTCTGCCAGTCCGTCTTCTGTTTGGGCATCCAGCCACCAGGCAAACATCACGGCTTTCCTCCTCGCCACTTCTGTTTTTCTGTAATATCGGTGCTCGTCCAACAGCTCCTAGATAACAATGCCGCATGGCTAATAGACATCGTCATCAGCGAAGTCCAAGACTGGTCACAGATTGGACACGATGACGTCCGGTTCAAACTTAACTCGGAGCCGAGCGCCGACGCAGCACTCCTTTCCAATCTGTGTCCAGCGTCGGCACTCGCTGGTGACGCAGAAATGTCGGCCCTACGGCCTTGTCATCTAGGCGGTGTTGGCTCGTCAGAGCTGACGTCACACGCCACCTGCCAACGGTGTCCCTGCTGCCTGTAGATCTGGTCGGTCGCGCCTTCTTATCCTTCTCGTTCCCGTCTTCGGGAAAGAGAAGAATGTGGCAGTAACGACTTTTTTTCTGTTTTATTCAAATTTGGTGATCATTTACGCATTTTATCAGCGTCTATTTCAACATTCGACTTTACGGGTTAGGAATAGACAGTCCAAAATCAAAGAACTGGAACAAATGTGGCCGTGGCAACCCGAAACCCAATTCGACGTGGATATTTTCACTCGCTCGCGTCATTTTACCTTCGGATAATTCGGCACAATATTTAATTAAAATACGCGCTCCAATTTTGGAGTTGTAACGGTAACTCGGTTTAAGATTGGGGACGAAAAGGGAAAGCGAGCTTTCGTTCCTGTTTTGAAGGGGCGTGGCGTAATGCACTGCTTCTCACCATGTCAAGAAAGGCGTCCTTCATCTGCAGTATCCAGGAACTGTTGCCGCTCTCACCGAAGCCGTGCACCAGGAAGACCAGGTCCTTGGTCCCGTTGAACTTGTCCACGTCCAAAGTCGAGTTGTCCAGGTAGTCCAGGTAGACCGGGTTCGCCCTCTGCTGGCGGTCGTAGAGCGCGAACTTGGTCTTCACCTCCTCGGGGCTGGAAGGGAGCGTGATGGAATGCGAGCAGTCGTCCAGCTGGCTGAAGCATCCCAGGCCGTCGTAGCAGACTTCTTCGTCGCTGTAGAACGCCGTCTTGGGTAGTCTCTGGGAAGAGTCGGTTGGAAACCTTCCGTTATAATCATAACTGTACAGTCGCCGTCAGTTAAAGAAACGCAGGGCGGGGCCTATTTGATAATCGAGCTTCTTGCTTCCTGATTGGTTCTTCGGAGCTCTTATTCGGCGAACGCTGTAATCTCAATGGCTGCGGAGCGATAATGAGATGCTCGTGTTTTGCCACGCCCTTTCGTTTCTTAGGCTGGGCGTGGCGATGTGTCTTAAAGTTTAAAGACAATGTAATTAAAAACATGGATACAATATCATTTAATGTCTAAAGACAATCATTAGTAATTGGTAGCGGAAAGGCGATCGTCTATGTGCCTTAGTATTAATCAATAATGAATGATCGTCTTCACAGAGTTGTTGAAATTATATTTGGCGCACATTTATCGTTTCGTGTTTGTGTTTTAAGAACAAAATAATATGTACTGCATTGCGTGACTTTTTTTTTCACTCAGAATTATTACTTTTATGGTAAACTTGATTTGTGTTTTTTCGTAAGATGACCAATGAAACGCCAATGACGTTAAGAATAGCTCGGGTTCCTCCACTCATTAAAGGGGCGATGCAACAATTTTTGGACTTTGCAAAAATGCCGCTTAAAACGAATCCCTGGCGTTAATGACCTATAAAACACCCGTTCGTTTACACCGCAAGCAATAGAAGTTCCGGAAAAAAATTAAAGAAAAACGAGCACAGTTCACCCCCTCAACTCGCAGCCAGAACAAGCGGCCACCTGTTGTGGAGCCGATTATATGCCGCCAATGTTGATCATAGCCACGCGCTGGGGTTGGCAAAGCACAGGACAGGCGCTGAGTTCCAGACATTGTTATGGCTCGGCTATTCTCGGCGTTGCAGCGATTGGACACGGGCAACTACCCGAATGCTTCTCGAGCTAGTAATTATGACGAGCCCAAATCGAGTGCCCACGCAATGCTTGGGTCCAATCTATGAACCGCATTCAAAATCGTCACTTGGGAGTACTTCAATCCCCACGTTACGTCATCAAATTTTGCAGAGGAGAGATTCAATGAAAATGATCGCTTTTGTCCTTGAAATTACACCGCAACAAAGGAGTTTCTTGGACAGTGGCGTTGCGTGTGAGTATCCTTAAGTCCCAGGTGTGCCAGTAAGCTCGTGTAAAGTAAAAAACATTCCAATCGAATATCGTTTACCCCTCCTTTAAACAGGTTCTGTCAACAACAATAACAGGATAAAAGGTGCAAGCGAGCTGGACGAGAATGTCGAAAATAGTCCCTGGAGAAGGGGAACAACAGGGACAAAGGACAAACACAAATTTCCAAACACAGCTAGATGACTGGTGCGCGACCGAACAAATCCGCCTGGTCTGGGTATCGAACCCGGAACCCTCTCCATGGAGAGGTCCCTGGTTCGATACCCGGACCAGGCGGATTTTTTCGATCGCGCACCAGTTCTCTAGCTGTGTTTGAAGATTTGTGTTCGTCCTTTGTCCCTCTTGTTCCCCTTTTCCAGGGATTATTTTCGTTGTCGACACAATACGTGTCCTTTTCCCCGGATAACAACTTACCTTCACAGTTTCGCTGGCGATGTAAACGTTCTGGACGAGTTCTTTTCCCCACTGGAGTTCCGCCTCGGTGAGCCGATGGCGACCCTGGCAGCAGTCCTTCGCGTGAGCTTTCTCGCCCAGAGCCTGCGCCACGACCTTCGAGAGTTTGCTGTCCACCCCTCGTCCCAAGGTTTGGGACACCATCAGAGCGAGCACTGCAAGAACACGACGGCGCAATGTGCACGTGTGACCGCTCGTATACTGCAGGTTCCATTTGTCACAACTAAAGCCACTAAACGAGCTGCGCTTAGAGCATCGACACCCCGTTCCCCGACTTTGTTGTAGGCGCCGCCATTTTGGTGCTTGTGCAGAGCAGACGCAACTGCCGATCGTCATGATTCAAAAGTGCGACACCCTCAGCCTAAGATTCGGTCAACGTTACTAGAACCACTCAGTTAGGAAACTGCCATAGAGCCTGCTCTGAAAAAGTTGCACCGATCCGTACTCGAGAACCGAGCTAATGGCGATCGCAACGCCGCCATTTCTCCCACAGCGGCCACTCGAGGCACTGCACGTGACTTTTATTTTGGCTTTAATCGGCCATCTTGGCGCCGAAACAGATACGGTGGAAAGCGGTTTCAGGGGTGCCACCCCTGTCTCCCAAGCGGACGCACCGTGAATTACTACCGAAGATATGATGCGCCTATAGTCGAGACGCGCTATCCGAAATCACCGCTGAGACATAATTGTATAAAAACAGCATTAACTGTGCCGCAAAACCTTTCAAACTAAAGATTTTAGAAAACATCACGCGCCCTTCGTTTTCTAAACTTTAATACATTTTACTACAAAAAGAGCTTTTTTTTCGGTTGTTTTTACGCAAAAGCATGCTTTCTATAAGCTCAAGGTGACTACAGTAAACACAAAAGATTAAAAGTGGCGCTGTCGTCGTATTTAGCTCGGTGTCGATGGACGCCAGCGGCCCATGTTTCAACGGTGAGTTCCCCAACTGAGGGTTCCAGTAACGTTAGATTCAGTTTTGGGAACTTCATGTAATATTACTTTGCTTTGTCGTAAACTCTTTAAACATTTGTAGAGAACAGAAAAGTGTTTCCTGTGATCTCAAGTGAAGCTTCAGATAACTGGCAACCATGATTTTAAGCCACAATATGGCGCAGTGTCGTTACTCTGAAGCGTAGCTTATTTAGTGGCACTAGTTTCAACCGACAGAACTCACCATTAGCCGCCGCCGCTGAAGCACACTGCTCATGTTTCGTATAAATTTCTCGCAGTAACGTCACATGGCGTACTTTCGGCCACCACGAAATAGGGAAAGACTGTCACACTGGTCATGCAGACACCGTCTGCAGAAACGTTCGAATCGTACACGCATCTCATTATCGTTGTCCCTCGGCCAATGAGATTGCGGCATGAGCCGATAAGGACGCCGAAGAACCAACCACGAAGCAAAAAGTGATGAGTTAACATAAGGGCGTGACGCCCGGCGTTTATATCGAGCTGTTGGCGACTGGATAGACCCGAATGGGTAGACTCTAAAAAAAGTCTGTGCGTCTACTTTCACGTACAACAATCGAGAGCCAATCACCGCAACTTACGGGGGAAGCTCAGCGAATGACAACTCAGGCTGCGTTTTTTTCGGTCTAAACATATGTTTCGGCGTCGTCATTCGATGAGCTGCCTCCGTAAGTTGCGGTGATTGGCTCTCCGAGTGTTGTGCGTGAAAGTAGAAGCACGAACTTTTTTAGAGTGTATAATAATATTTTGCTCTTGAGGAAACACTGGGCAACGCCTATTATGATAATCACGCTTTTCTTTTGTATCGGGATTGGTCCTTTGGCATGCTTATAGGCTGATGCCGCGATCTCATTGGCTGCGTAGCGATTATGAGATGCACGGCGACCCGCCGCCGCCACTCCCCGCGTTTTTGAGTTGTCGGTGACTGGCAGGACACGCTAAATCACCTCGGAGACTTCAGATGGTACACCCGCAGGCGATATGAAGGTGAACGGCAGACCGTCGACTGGTGCGTGCTATCAGCGCCATGACGCGGCTGCCGTGACGGCTCCCTTTCTTATCGCTCGCTTCGCCGAGATTAAGCGCTTAGATTGAGCGCTGTTCTCAGCTCTGATGCACTCCCCGCAGAAATCGTGCAAGTGGGTTTCGATTTCAGCATCGCTTTTTGTGGGCGCCGTGCCCCCGTCATTGTCGGCAAATGATTTGCACGTTGCACGTGAACTAGAGCGGACGTTCTTCGGCATGGTTTATCAGTGACTCAACCGCTTTTGTAGCGTGAGCTACACTGGCCGAGGTTGAGCAGTTTTGCGTGGCTCCTGGAGAGCCGTTCTGCGCATGCGCGAGGAGCAGTGACGTCACACGGCGCACAGCTGGCGCGCCGGAGCCGCCGCCGCCGCGCGCGCCTCGCCGGTCTGGGCATTCCAGAGGAGTGACCGACCATCAGTGAACGCTATACTTCGTTTCAGCTTAGGTCCGAGCGCGGCCTATGTTATGAGCCGCAGGGCCAATAATACAGCGCAAAAAGCGCAGCGTCATGGCGTGCTCTCTGCACTGTATAGAACTAGCCGGCAGAGGAGCACGCACGGAGAAACGGCGAATACCGGCTGGTCCTATCAACTGCAGAAAGCACGCCATGACGTTGTGCCTCTTTCGCTGTTTGATTGGCCTTTCGGCTCATAACATCGGCCGCGCTCGGACCTAAGCTGAAACGAAGTATAATAACTGCGAACGTAATAACTGTTCTTTTTTAAGAAACTGAAAGGATAAGTTACTTTTTTTATTTGTTCCGCAGCTTTCCGGTTTAGCGCATATCACAACAAAGAAAAAATTACTAAATCACATTGTCTACCGATAGTGTCTGAAAGGCTCCTGCAATCCTCGCGCTTTCTGCGGGGAGTAGCAGCAGAGCTGAGAACAGCGCTCGATCTAGGCACTTACTCTCGGTGAAGCGCGCGATAAGAAAGCGAGCCGCCATGGCAGCCGCGTCGTGGCGCTGATAGCACGGACCGGCAGACGGTCCGGCGTTCACCTTCATATCGCCTGCGGGTGTACATCTGCATTATATTTTGTGAAAACATCGAACGAAGACTCTCTCAATCAGGTAACGCACGAAAACCAAACCTTGCCTGTGCAGCAATTTGAGTGTCAACATTTTTCTTTTGTGGAAAAAAAAAGTAAGGAAAGGAACGTTGTTTGGCCATTGAGAATTTGATTTTTCGAAACCTGGACTGTAACAACTGAAAATAAGCCTGACTGCCCTTTTTTCTTTGTTGTTAATTCATTCCGTCAAAAATCCCGAAACAACTTTTTTCTTTGTTTTTTTTTTTACATCACAAATAAATACATCTGTTTCCCCTTAAAGATAAGTATTTGAATCACTTTTCTTTCTTTCTTCCTTTCTTTCTTCCTTTTTTGTATAATTGGCTAACTTTTACGTCGGTAATTCCACGAGCAAAAAGAAAATTTTCATTTGATTTACTAGATGCAAAATTGTGGTACCCAATCCAAACTGCAACTAAATTTCGAAAAAAAAAATCAAATAATCTGACAAGAAAAATTACCTGAAAAGATTAGAGAGTTTTGGTAGATCGTTCCGATGACTGCGATAACGATACCAATTACTCCGACACCGCCTTGGCCCACGCCAAGGCCGCGTCGGAGTATCGGGTATCGTTATCGCAGTCATCGGAACGATCTGCCAAAACTTTCTAACGTTTCGAACGTCAAGAAGTCACTTGACCTTGAAACCTATAGTCTATAATCTAGCTGAGCTTATATCTACTTCCTTTGTTGTCCGAGTTGCGTAGCTGCGAGAACCGCCGCAATATTAGGGAGATTATCAAATGTTTTCTTCGGTGAACACATGGCGCCAAAAGCTGAAACGCATTCACGATGAAAAAAAAAGGACACTAATTGAAAATTGCACGGAAATCTTAAAATGCAAAAACCGTTGCAGACTACTTTTATATCATTAGAGATCTTTAGTAGATCGTTCCGATACCCCCGATAACTTCGATAACGATACTATGCATGCGCAAGGGAGGCGGCGGCGGAGTATCGGGTATCGTTATCGGAGTCATGGGAACGATCTACTAAAACTCTCAATTTACTACCCACCGGCAAAATGTACGTAAAATAAAAAAAAAAACGGGAATTGGCCGCTTTGAATAAGAAAGAATTTGTTTTCATTTTTCTAAGCTCTCGGCGACTACAATTTGGAAATGAGAAGGCTTTCTTTTGTCTCGTCAATCACTTTCGTATATCGCCACGACGGACTCTCCGAGTGCTCGGCAGAAAAACAAGACGCATCTCTTAGAGACTATCATAGTCTATAGACGAGCTCTCTACAGACAAGCCCGCGTTTGGCCACACCAGGTGTGAGCAGTGCGCGTGCGCAGAAGTCAGATTCGCGTGAGAGGAAGCGTCTGCGCATGCGCAATACCTACAGCAGCGCCACCGCAGGGGAGTGACGTCAGAGCGTTGATTTGGTGCATGGCCACTAACAGCTTTAATTATCGCTCCTTTGCCAATGAAAGTGCGGCATTGGTCAATAAGAACGCCGAGGAACCAATCGCGGAGCGAGGGGCGTGTACACTATAAGCCACGCCTTGCGCTTGTTAAGTTGTCAGTGACTATTAAGTATAAGCAATGTCTGCGCTTGTCCCTTCTCGGCAGAGAACAGACTGCGTCAATCCCTGATGGCAGCTACGAAAGTTTGAGTTTGAACCATCCTTTTCGAACTTACGAAAACAAACGCTGAGGACCATGTTGCTGCGATGTGAAGCGCCAGACGTCGCCGCGGCACACCAAGAACGTCCGCGAGCTTGCTATGCTTCGTGGTGTGTGGCGCTCTCGACCGGCTGAGCTCCAATTTATTAGCCTTTCTCAGGCGAGGTGAGGCATCTGCGTCCCGCGCTAAGATAACGCGGCCCCATCATCCGAAGTCAGGTGGGTTTCTCTGGATAAAGCTCTTGGCACGCAGGTACCGTTCTCTCTCGACCATTGCGAGATGTAACGTATTCCACGAAGATAAAAGTAACAATCCCGTCCGAGGAGTCCCCAGACGCCGATAAAGGGTACTTGTCTACCTCTCGAGACTTTATCTTATAAGATTATCAATGAGATGCGTCTTTTTGCGCGGAGTACCTCCCCCCCAGAACAGCTTCCTATTGGTCAGAGACTGGCGTGTCTCTTTGCAGCGGAGATCATACGATACTGGTGTCGTGTGCAACGACCTGTTATCTTACCTTGATAGCAGTTAATACGCCATCAACGTTAAAAGGTAGTATACAATCATAAAAAAAAAAGATTCTGCCTTCCACCTCCCCTTTTTTGTTCCTACCCGAATGTTCGTTGAGTGTGTATCGTGCGGCCTATTATGTAGGCCACTCGGTGACCTCAAGGTTTGATTCTGATTATCGTTTTGCGACGAACGAATTTCTCCCCCGCGTACGCCATGCTTTATTTAGGCCACATTCTGGATAGAGACCTTTTAGCGAAAATGTCGCTTCTAATAAGAGATTAACGACCGAACTTCGGCTGTGAAAACAACGAACGTCGTGCGCGACCAAAGGCGTCGATGTAGTCTGCCTTTCACGACTGGTCAAACGCTCACTACAGTGTCTCGAGTATGATGAGTTCTACTTTCAAGGGAAATAAGAGGACTGGCAGACTGCCAACTTCGGCGGTGTTGCTTTAAGAACGCCATTACTACAAACTGCCACCGTGTATTTCTTTTTTACGCACATTATTAAAATTTTATTTGGCAATCAAAAATGTCGGTCGTGACGTCTCAAATAGAGACCGTGAGAGGGAGCCACCGAAACATCTCGCCACTATACGTAAAGAGCGATGAACATAAACATCTTTACTTGTTTATTTTGAAACTGTGCGGCGCCCACAAAGGAGCCAGAAAGTCCCACTTGAGCGACGAACAGCAACAACCGGCAACGACCAATTTCAAGCACGCGCAGCATGCACGCAAAGGTAACTTAGGCGAACTTGGAATCTCGCTGTGCTCGTGCAGTCAGCCACGAGTGGACCCGAAGATTCTAATGGCGAATTCCACTGGGCGTTTTGGAGCGCGCCGGGATCAGTTGACCAGATCCAGACTGGAGCACACGATCCGAAGTGGTCGCGCCGCCTACGAATCCCCAGAGGAACATGACCACTGCTCCGGGATCGGCGGATGCCTTCCCGTCATTCACCTGCCCGGGAATCCCCTTTCCGCGGCCGCAGTGGTCGTTTCGAAGACGTTTTTGCAATCGCGGCGCTAACACGTGTTCGACAGACGAGCGGCAGGAATGGCTCAGGCATTTCTAGCAAAGATTGCCGGAATGCCCGTAGCGCGGCAAATACCTTCTCTTCTCCTTCCTGGAAAACGAACCGGCTGTCGAGCCAAGGGGTAAGCCAGCGGCTATTACGACAATCTAGGAGCCCAGCCCGCGACGTGTTTCTTCTTCTTCTGAGGCGAGATGGGCGAGATCAGGCGAGATGCCCCACGAGAAAGGAAGTCACGTGTGTGCGCCGAGGGAGGACCTGGCTGGCTTCCGGTTGAATCCGCCGAAATCGTGGGAGCGACTTTTCTGGGATACAGATCGAGATCTGGAGCGGGAGTTCATCCAAAACGACCAGTGAAACACGTCGGTCTCGATCCCGATCGCCCAGTGAAATAGGCTCGCTCCAGAAAAGTCGATCCCGGCGCGCTCCAAAACGACCAATGGAATTCGCCATAATTTCGAACCCACGATCCGAAGATTTTGAGCCCGATGTACAACCAATGTGTCAAGGGGAAGACTTCTGAAGCGATCACTATTATGTGCCGTCCTCATCTCCTCATTTCGTTTAGGCGCGGAAAGGGGGGAGGGGGGGGGGGGGGGGGGGGGGGCACAGTTGCTGGATGCGCTTCAGCCTTTTAAATACCGCGCAAAACGAAGGAGTCGGTTGAAGAGGAGATATAGTTAAACAGAAGAGGCGACGTGCTAGGTAGTATAGGTATAACCACCTTTATTGAGCGTAGGGACATTTGATGCTTACCGGTTTGCCGCTACAGGGTTCGTCACAATTCCGATCAGCTGAACATAGTCTTTATAAAGACTAGCAATGCTATCAGATTTCGACAAAATCGGCAGCAAAGCACCGCAAAACAAAAGCCTAGTTTTCTTCTTTTTTTTTTTTTTTTTTTTTTTTTTTTTTTAAGGATATTATTGCAAAATCTGACGTACTTGTAGTTCTAGACCAGGGGCCTCCAAATTTCGGCCCGCGGGCCAAGTCCGGCCCGCGTAGGCCTTCTGACCGGCCCATACTTTTGCTGTGGTCCTTCCAATGAAGCCCAGCCCACGGCACGCTTCTAGCAAGCCCGCTATTACCCGGACAAAAATAAGTGCGTTTAAGGAAATGCAGCTATTGAGAAGATTGGGTACTGTATACCTCCAATTGTTGTCCAAACTTTTCATCTGAATTTAAGAACCTCCCAATATTCATTGTGGAGGGTCACGTAAATTATAGTATATTGTTATAGTGAACTTAGTACTGTTAGAATTGGAGTTCTATTTCTTTTCTTTTCGTTTTTTTATAGTGATGCATAGTCAATAATCATAGAAGTAAATTTCTGTTGGTTGAAAATTTTATAACATGGTCTCAGTGTGAGAATCACAAGCGGCATTGTAAACAACTCTCACTTATTTTTATTTTTTTAAGAGGGTTAATTTCATTAAGTTTGGTTTTCGTGGTTGTACCCTATACAACGCATTATAAATAATTATTTTAATAGCAATCGGAAGAGCTCAGCTGTGGTGGTACGTGAAACCGACAGCATGTTACAATTTTAATATCGAATAAATATATGAATGCGCCATGACATATTAGCAAACAAAAACTGCACCGATTTTAAAAATATTTACAATTTCTATGGGACTTGAATTGAATAATATTTCTCGGGTTGTATAAACTTGTTTATTTTTAGGACGAAATATAACGGCCTTTGTTTTATCAGTGTTAATGCTTAGTCCGTTATCCCGTGCCCATGTCCTTAACCTTAATATAGTAGAATTTACAGCATCCACAACGCCTAGAACGCCCTCTAGGGAGACCTCGAGGGCGATCTCAAGGGCGACCTCTAAGACGACCTCAAGAACGACGTCTAAGGCAACGTCGAGGATGACGTCGCCCTAGAAGTCGTCTGGGACGATCTCTCGAACCATCTCAAGGACGACTTCTAGTACGACGTCGAGCGTATGAGGACATCCTGTGAATGCGGAGGCGCCGCGAATACGCACGGCGTATTCGAGGCCAGACATCGTATCGCGAAAGCCGGGCGATAGCTAAACAATGCTATCGCATTAAGAAACCCATAAGGTGATTTCAGATAAGGTCAAACAAAAAAAAATAAAACAGGTATTTTTGTTTTCATTCGTATTTAAATGAATGTCATTGTTTAGTGGCTAGGATAAACGGATCCAGAGATAGTTTCTACCCGAAAAGAAATAATCAAACTTATAAATGTGTATATCATGAAAAAAAAACTTGAACACTAGGCAGCATTAAAGGGATACTTCAACGAAATTTGAAATATTCCCGTCGTGTTCAAAAGTAGGTTGAATATGATCCACAATATCCGTAAATGACAATCGCACGTTTGTATTTTGAGCCTGGTGGCGGTATTTTTTGTTATAAACGGCCCACTATAGCAAGCACTCAGAGAAGGCCCAGCTTAGAGCACGTTACATCCGACGCAATCGTGACGTAGGTCGTCTCAGGACGAGCACAGCTACGGCGAGGCTGACGTCGAGAGGATGGCCTAGTCAAATACCGTTGAGAATAATACAGGAAACTCCGGGCTAAAATGGGAGACGGAAGTAGAAAGCGATCCTGGCGGTGTGGAGTGGACAACTCGCCACTTTCCCCGGAAATGAATCAAGTGGGTCTGACTCACTAGAGAAATTGATAGTCTATGAAATATTCCCATTTTTTGATGGAGCATAAGCATAGGCAGCATAAGCTCGTGATATTGGACCTCTTGGTATTTTGATGTCAAAATGCAGTGTGTTGTATGGACCAGTCAGGATTTGTATAGCCGATTTCGTACAATCTAAATAATAATTAACCTTATCTGAGCTTGTTGATTTATTTGTTTTACTCCTACCGAAACATGTCTTATCAGATGCCCTTGGCTCCAAGTGACCATAATTGACAATAGGCATCAATTTTTTATGAGACCGACTTGAAATGGCTCCAAGTGACTAGAAGGGATTGTTATTGATAATTATGTGATTCTTTTGTGTGCTTACTCTTATGAACGGCTTCAAGCAGCTTTTGTCGGCTATTAGCATCTTCTTTGACCAGATTGACCTTAAATGGCTGCCAATAGCTATTGATGAGATAATTGACAATTACCCATTTCGGCGTTGGTGAATGCACATGGTTTCAACTGGCTATTATTGGCTATCAGCCTCCACTTTTATATATATTTGATAGATATGGCTACAAATATTAATGAGTAATGAAAGCTGAGCTATTTCTGTTTATAAACTGGGATGACTTCAGGTGGCTATTGTTGGCGATTAGAATATATTTCTGACCAGATTGGCTCAATGGCTACTAATGGCTGTTAGTCAGTATAATAGCAATTATCTGCTGTCTGGGCGTTTATGAATGAGAATGGCTTCAAGTGGCTATTATTGGCTATAAGCACCTATTTTCGAATAGATTGGCTGCAAATGGCTACAAACCGCTATTGGTAGATAACTATTGCTTGAGCTATTTTTTATATTTACGAAATGGAATGGGGCTTCAAGTGGATAATGTTGGCTATTTGTAATTATTTTTGACCAGATTGAATTGAAATGACTGCTGATGGGTATTGATTAGATCATTAAACAATTATGTGCTATTTCGGTACTTAAAATGAGT